CCAGATAATATCAGTTGGGTCATTCCTTCTTCTTGAAACAAGTTCTTTGCTTGGCTTCTGGGTATCACAGTGTTCCTAATTTCTTCCTGCTTCACCATAATGTCACTTATTCGAGGTCTCAGTTGTTTATTTCTCATCATTCCCCTGACTTCTAAATGTTGGAGTTCCCTAAAGCTTAGTCCTTGGGTCTCTTTTCTGCCTATACTTTGTAGTGTTAAAAAAGCACAGGCACAAAACGGAGTCTTTTGTCTCCACAACAGCAAATCAAGACTCCATTGCAATTTCAACCTCTCCCAGAAATGTAACTTTTCAACAATCTGAAATTTCCTGATTAGCGTTAGTGAGGTAATCTGCATGACAAAACCCCTGCCTTCCCTTCCCTTCCCGCCAAATGCCAAAGGAAGATGTCCTGGCCTACAATAATCCTTTCTTTTCTTTTGCTGATAACTTCCTTGCCCCACCCTCCTTCTGTCTGTAAAAATTTTCCCTTTTGTACACCTCCTCAGAGTATCTCTCTTCTTGCTGGATGGGATGCTGCCCCATTCATGAATTGCTTAATGAAGCCAATTGGATCTTTAAATTTTTTTTTTTTTTTTTTAAAGATTTTATTATTTCCTTTTTCTCCCCAAAGCCCCCCGGTACATAGTTGTATATTCTTCGTTGTGGGTTCTTCTAGTTGTGGCATGTGGGACGCTGCCTCAGCGTGGTCTGATGAGCAGTGCCATGTCCGCGCCCAGGATTCGAACCAACGAAACACTGGGCCGCCTGCAGCGGAGCGCGCGAACTTAACCACTCGGCCACGGGGCCAGCCCCAGATCTTTAAATTTACTTGGTTGAATTTTTGTTCTTTAAGTGTAGTCTTATCTGGTGTTATGATTTTAAATAATATCTTTGTGTGGATGTTGTTTAAATTGATTATACTCAGTTTAGGCTTCTCCCATGAACTCCAGACTTGATATTCATTTGCCTTACAACAGCTTGATTTTCCCCAGATATTTCCTTCACTTCCTTCAGGAGTGTGGTCAAACATCAACTTATCTGAGACCTTCCCCACCTAAAATAACTCCTTGCCCAAGCCTCTTTCTCCCCCAACCCTATTTTAGTTTTTTCCCATAACACTTATCACCTGGCATGATTTATATATATATAGACATATAATATTTACATGTAAATATTTATGTATGTCTACAGGCATATCTCTGAGATATTGCAGGTTTGGTTCCAGACCACTGCAATAAGGGAGTATCACAATAAAGCGAGTCACACAAATTTTTTGGTTTCCCAGTGCATATAAAATTTATGTTTACACTATACTGTAGTCTATTAAGCGTGCAATAGCTTATGTCTAAAAAAACAATTACATACCTTAATTCAAAAATACTTTAGTGTTGTTGAAAAATGCTAACCATCATCTAAGCCTTCAGCAAGTCGTAATCTTTTTGCTGGTTGGAGGGTCTTATTAAAAAATGCAGTATCTGGTGCCGGCCCCCTGGCACAGCGGTTAAGTTCACACATTCCGATCTGTGGCCCAGGGTTCGCTGGTTCAGATCCCAGGTGCAGACCTACGCACTGCTTGCCAAGCCAAGCTGTGGCAGGCGTCCTGCATATAAAGTAGAGGAAGATGGGCATGGATGTTAGCTCAGGGCCAGTCTTCCTCAGCAAAAAAGAGGAGGATTGGAAGCAGATGTTAGCTCAGGGATAATCTTCCTCAAAAAAAAAAAGTTTGGCTGCCCTGTGGCTGAGTGGTTAAGTTGGCGTGCTGTGCTTCGGTGGCCCAGGATTTCCTGGGTTCGGATCCTGGGCACGGACATGGCACTGCTCATCAAGCCATGCTGAGGTGGCGTCCCACATGCCACAACTAGAAGGACCCACAACTAAAAATATACAACTGTGTACAGGGGGGCTTTGGGGAGAAAAAGGAAAACAAAAAACAAAAAACCACAGTATCTGTGAAGGGCAATAAAACGAGGTATGCCTGTATATGTATGTAACATGTAACATAAATACTTAAATATTATATATATACTCATGTAAGTGTTTACATGTAAATATGTATACATATTTTACATATACATATTTATATATTATTTTGGATCTGTTTTTCCCTAATAGAATTTACTAGAATCTAAGCTGTATGTATCCTAAAATATAAACACATAAAATCATTCTCAATTATAAAGTTCTGAAAAAAACATAATTATTTAAACCTAGCCCCAAGCCTGTCATACACTACTCACAAAAATTAACTTAAAATGTATTAAAGACTTAAAGGTAAGACCTGAAACTGTAAAGTTCCCTAGAATTGTCCCTGGACTTTAATAGGCACTGAATGACTACGTAGGGGCATTCCAGACAACATACCTTATTCTGAGATATTCATCCTATCTAAGAATTTTAGCAACAACAACAAAAAAGGGCTTAACCACCTGCCATAGTAAGAAACTTTAGATTAATGTCTAGAGTCTACATATTAAAAAGTTGACTTCTCTTGCCACAAAATGAGCACCTACAGCAGAGGGGAATAATGGTTTGTACAGTTTACGTGGGGAAAAGGCTAGGAAACTCAAATTCTGTTGATTACTCACCTGGAAATCTTGTGCAGTGCCTTGATTTTTGATGTTTTAGAGGAAGTAAACAAAACTAATTTTTCTTCTTGCTTGTGCCATTAGCAAATACCACATTTTGGGCTTTTTGGAAGAATTTCATGAGAGTGTAGAGTTTGAGCTATTTCCACACATCAAGCTGTTTTTGTAAATAGAAGATCCAACTTTTTTTTTAACTTTTAATTTGCCATTTTAATCTTTTTTTTTTTTTTGGGGGGGTGAGGAAGATTAGCTCTGAGCTACCATCGTGCCCGTCTTCCTCTACTTTATATGTGGGACGCCTACCACAGCATGGCTTAATAAGCAGTGCATAGGTCAGTGCCTGGGATCCTAACCTGCAAACTCCAGGCCGCTGAAGTGGAGTGTGTGAACTTAACCACTATGCCACTGGGCCCGCTCAAAGATCCAACTTTTCTGATCTCCTAGTGACTCACAAAATTATTTCTAATTAACATTAATATCCTGAACCTGAAACCAATAAGGAAAAATAAGAACAGTGATTTTTTTTTCAGTGAGGTACCCAGACCCAAGTGAATGGGTGGTTTCAACAGCTGGCAACTGAAATAAATCTGTATATACAGTGGAATTACAGACTTTGAAGAATTGTATAGCTTATCATCCACCACTGCTCACATTCTATGTTAAAGATATATCAGGGGCCAGCCCAGTGGCGCAGTGGTTAAGTTCACACATTCCGCTTTAGCGGCTCTGGGTTCACTGGTTTGGATCCCAGGTGCGGACCTAGCACCACCTGTCAAGCCATGCTGTGACAGGCGTCCCCACCTATAAAGTAGAGGAAGATGGGCACAGATGTTAGCTCAGGGCCAGTCTTTCTTAGCAAAAAAGAGGTGGATTGGTGACAGATGGTACCTCAGGGCTAATCTTCCTCAAAAAAAAAGATATCACATTAATTGCATTTATAAAAATATACCACATTTTCTCACATCTTTGCACTTTTATACTTATCATTTCTTCTCCTTGGACTGACTTTCCTTTGATTTGGTTTTACCTTCTCCAGGTTATTTACCCTGATCTTCTTGGTCTCAATTTGAGCAATTCTGTCTCTGTGTCTGTATACTTTACGTTACATAAACTATCACTTGTTATTAAGTTGCTAATCTCATTTCCCCCAAAATATTGTTCACTGAAACCATAAAAGAACTATCTTTTATTTGTGTTCCATTTTTATAGCATAGTGCCTGCCATTCATTGCTAAATGAATGAATGAATAATGTCCTATCTTCCACCAGCCTAGCAGTGGGAACTAACATTCCCCCAGAACTAACGGTCTAAGCCATTAGTTGAAATACAGAAAAGTGGGAAATTACTGGTCAGAATCTTCCTTAATTCAACTTTTTTCTTAGAGCTCCTGTGTTCCTTTGTTTTGATAAATCTACTCGGTAGACAACTGAGATCCTGACAGCCTTTTGAAGCTTTTGGAGTACACATACTAAAGAAAAGATAAAATGTACTAAAATGCTTTCCAGCTTTTATTTTGCTATTTTGAACACTTTATTTCTTTTTGATTGCTGAGGAAGGTTAGCCCTGAGCTAACATCTGTGCCAATCTTCCTCCTCTTTATATGTGGCTCACCACCACAGCATGGCTGACGAGTGGTGTAGGTCTGCGCTTGGGATCTGAAACTGTGAACCCAGACCACCGAATCGAGTACACCAAACTTAACCACTACGTGACAGGGCCAGGCCCTTGAACACATTTTATTTAAGAAGTCACTGTCATTCAGTTATCAGTTGAAAGGCTTTATTTCGTTAAGGTATTTTAAAAAATTAAGTCATTTTATATTTCAAATTAGGTATTCTAGCCTTAGATTTCAAACTCATTTTTGCTGAGTATATTCTCTCTTAAATACACAAAGGAACATATTCATAGAGTATGTTGAAAATTAGGAAAATCAAGGGTTCTGGTTCTGTCAGGTGCAGTGTTCAGAGTGTTATTTTGATAAAATCCCGTAGCTCTGATATGGCTTGAAAATACTTGCTCCTTTGGACTATAAATGCAAGGACAAAACTGTGGCATAGGTAAGAATTCACCATAACTACCTGAATTGGTTTTATACATAATCATCGTAGGTTTTGATAGGGAGGTAGCCGTATGGAGTGTCTTTGGGTCCAACATACATGAAAACACAGGGTTGCCGGGGTTCACACAAGGAGGCAGTTGTTCAGCTTTCATTTCTGTGTCTGAATTTGAAGCTGAATTACTTTTCTTATCCTAAAATATAAACACATAAAATCATTCTCAATTATAAAGTTCTGAAAAAAACATAATGATTTAAACCTAGCCCCAAGCCTGTCATACACTACTCACAAAAATTAACTTAAAATGTATTAAAGACTTAAAGGTAAGACCTGAAACTGTAAAATTCCTAGAAGAGGGGCTGGCCCCGTGGCCGAGTGCTTAAGTTCTCGCGCTCTGCTGCAGGCAGCCCAGGGTTTCATTGGTTGGAATCCCGGGCGCTGACATGGCACTGCTCATCAAACCATGCTGAGGCAGCGTCCCACATGCCACAACTAGAAGGACCCACAATGAAGAATATACAACTGTGTACCGGGGGGCTGTGGGGAGAAAAAGGAAAAAAAATAAAAAAAAAAAAAAAAATTCCTAGAAGAAACAAAAATCAACAAATGTGACTACATCAAACTGAAAAGCTTCTGCAGAGCTTAAGAAACAACAGAATGAAGAGGCAACCTATGGAATGGGAGAAAATATTTGCAAACTATATATCAGATAAGTGGTTAACATCAAAAATATCGGAAGAACTCATAACTCAATAGCAAAACAAAAATTCCAATTAAATACTGGGCAGAAGATCTGAACAGACATTTTCCCAAAGAAGACATACAAATGGGCCATAGGTACATGAAAAGGTGCTCAGTAACACTAATCATCAGGGAAACGCAAATCTAAATCACAGGGAGCTATCACCTCACACCTGTAGAATGGTTATTATCAAAAAGTCAAGAGATAACTGTCAGGGAGGCTGCCGAGAAAAGGGAACCCTTAAGGACCCTTGTTGGGAATGTAAATTGGTACAGCCACTATGGACAACAGTATGGAAGTTCCTCACAAAGTTAAAAATAGAACTACCATATGACCCACCAGTTCCATTTCTGGGTATATATCCAAAGGAAATGAAATCACTATCTCGAAGACATGTCTGCACTCCCATGTTCATTGCAGTATTATTCAGAATAGCTAAGATATGGAAACAACCTAAGTGTTCATTCGTGGATGGATGGATAAAGATGTGTATATATATATACACACACATATATGTATATACAAAATGGAATATATTCAGCTATAAAAAAGAAGGAAATCCTGCCATTTGTGACAACATGGATGGACCTTGAGGCCCATACTAAGTGAAATAAGTCAGACAGAGAAAGACAAATACTGTATGATCTCACATATATATAGAATCTAAAAAAAAAGGGAAAAAAAGCCAAATTCATAGAAATGGTAGAATGGTGGTTGCCAGGATCTAGGGGGTGGGTGAAATGGAGAGATGATGGTCAAAGGGTACAGACTTCCAATTATAAGAAGTTCTGAGGATGTAATGTACAGTGTGGTAACTATAGTTAACAATACTGTATTGTATACTTGAAAGTTGCTAAAAGAGTGGATTTTAAATGTTCTCACCACACACAAAAAAATTGTAATTATGTGAGGTAATGTATGCGTTAACCTTATTGTGGTAATCATTTTACAATATATACTTAGATCTAATCATCACATTGTACACCTTAAACTTACACAATGCTGTATGTCAATTATTTCTCAATAAATAATAAAACTGGAAAACCAAAAGAAAACAAAAAACTTAGCCCCATCCAGTCCGTTTTTCAGGAATCCTATTCTCTTGAGATAAATGACATACATCTATACAGAGCAAACTAATCAAAAGTATGTGTGAGATAGCTTTTTAAAACCTTATACTGGAACTATGAGAATTTATAAAAACATTTATAAATCATAGAGAAATCTGCAATAAGTCGTAGTTAGAAGAGATGTACAGCTGAATTTTAGAGTGACAAGGAAACAAGACAAACATTCAGGGATCTTAGCCCTGTAGGGGATAGCCACTAAGCAAACAATTACATAACTAACTGAATAATTACGATTGTACTAAGTGTTATCAAGAAAAAAATACAAGATATTTATGAAGACATATAGGGGATTCTAACCTAGTGTGAGGGGCTAAGGAAGACCAGTCTGGTGAAGTGTCATTGAATCTAAGACTGGAAGACTTCAAAGGAAAAGATAGAGTTGGGAACAAAGAAAAAGTCAGTGTGGCCAAAGTCTAGTTAGAGTGAAAATGGCTTGAGATGAGACTAGAGGCAGGGGCTGGATTCTGCAGGGTCTTACTGACATCACTTTTAGGGAGATTACTTTGGCTGCTGTCAGGGCCTTGAATGGATGTGGAGAGGAGCTATAGTAGTCCATGTGACGGATGATGATTTATAGTAGGGTGATGGCAAAGAGAGTCAAGTAAACACATTTGAAACATATTTTGGAAGTAGAATTCACAGGACCTGGTGATTGATTGGATGTGAGTGGTGAGAAATAGGGACAGATCAAAGAAGACCCTACGTTTCTGGACAAACATATGGGTAGATGGTGGTGCCATTAACTACAGTTTAACATGTAAATTAAATTTATATATATACATAAAATAAATTTAGTAAATACATAAAATATAAGCAATTTGGCTATTTGGGGAGAGAGGAAGCAAGGTATTAAAAAGAATGGATACAGAAGTGCATATAGCTTTCTAGCATATGCATATAATGTGCTTTGTCCTTAGTAAAGTCAAGTCTATAAAGAACATCAACCTTCAATAATGAAGATGAAAGAATTCAAATGGATCAAACTATATAGACCTTATATATCAATCATTCACTCATTCAACAAATACTTACTGAGAGTATCTACTGTGTGCCAGGTGTTGTTAGATACTGAGAATACGGCGATGAACAATATAAAGTTCCTAGAGCTTACATTTTATTATATAAAAGACAAAAACCTAGGAAACCAGCTCAGTAATGTTGGGAAATTGGCTAGTTATTTTTTAAAATGTAGGTCTTCACCTTCAAGTATTATCAAAATAAATTTCAGATGAATTAATTAAATACTGATTTAAAATCACATTTTAGAAAAACTAGAAATTCAGAGGAAGGTATTTTAACCCTTGAGAAAGGAAGACATTATAAATTTAAAAGTTACAAAAGAAATTATAAAGGAAAAGATTGATGCATTTAACGCTCTAATCTATACATGAAAATACAGTTAACCAAAATTAAAAGGTAGACTACAGACTGGGAATGCTACCTAGAAAGAATGACAGAGGATTACTATGTTTACCTCATAAGAGTCTTTTTTATTCCTACATAAAAAGTAAGCAAAATACTGCAATTCTGATAAAGCAAAGATAATTAACATTCTATTCTCAAAGGTAAAATATATCTAGGTAGGAAACATATGGTATTTTTTAAAATGTAGATGAAAACCACAGGGAGTGTTTTATAAAAAAATCTGAGGGGCTGGCCCAGTGGTGCAGTGGTTAAGTGCGCATGTTCTGCTTCGGGGACCCGGGGTTTCCCAGTTCGGATCCCAGGTGTGGACCAGGCACCGCTAGGCAAGCCATGATGTGGTAGGCGTCCCACATATAAAGTAGAGGAAGATGGGAACGGATTTTAGCTCAGGGCCAGCCTTCCTCAGCAAAAAGAGGAGGATTGGCAGCAGATGTTATCTCAGGGCTAATCTTCCTCAAAAAAAAAAAAAAATCTGAGACCCAATTTTGGCAATGAAATAGCACTCCGCATTGATAATTACTAGGTAAATTAATATAACCCCATTTTAAAAAAATAACACAATGCATTACAAACTTTAAAATGTTCAAGATTTTGAATCCTGAAATTTTAGTTTTGAAATCTATCCTAAGAAAATTAATTGCAGAAAAAATCTACAGCATTACTTACAAAAGACTTGAAAGGTGTACTGATTAGATGGATATTTTAATTATATTGTTTATGCCAAAAATACTAATAAAGTACTTGAAAATAGTTTCTTAAATAGTTTTTTCCTCAACCTTACATTGATGTAGATAAATATTAATCCAGTCCTGGTTTAATTATCTTGGAATAATTACAACCTGATGGGGGGGGGGTCCCTAAAGTTCTGTTACTATGAATAGATGTTTCATTTAATAAACTTCACCTGGAGATTGTATTATATTGCTTAATTTTTTCTGAAAGACTTGCAATGGTTAATCCTTTATAAACTTGTCTATGCAAAAATAATCAATAACCATTCTATAGATAAGAGATAAGGTGAGTTTTACTTGAGCCAAACGGAGTATTATCACCCAGGAAGGCCTTTTCCATAAAGGAAGAAAGCATTCAGAAGAAGCATGGTTTGCAGTACAATTTTATATATTTTTAGAACAAAGAACATACATTAAACATGCCCAGGATACATATTCATGAAAGTTTCAAAGACGTATTCAGTTGCAAATTAGCAGGTCAACATGCCACTGATGTTGGGAAAGGGACTAATATGGGCATTACCAATAGGGCATAGGAGGGGAAGTATGCATTCTTATCTTGAGAGCCATTCTTTAATAGTTAAAGCAGATGCACAATGTATGTTTGATAGGCCAAACTCAGGCTTTTTTAGTTCAAGCTGAATCAGTCTTGGATATGAATAGTTACTCCATATACTTCAATATGTGAAAATCTCGTCAAACTCAATTTCATTTGTGTTTCTGGTTGGGAAAATCATAAATATAAGTAAGAACATTTATACATATATATTGTCTTATATCTACTTGTGTTTTAAATGTACTTGTGGCTGGTTATAATCTTGAAAAATAAAAAGGTGCTATGAGTTGAAATGGACCTGAGCTAAAATGTTTTCCCCATAAACACATTCCTAAAGTCTTGTTTTTCATTTAAAACTGCCATTAAACCATATTCAATGAACTCTTCAGTCAACTAGTAATGTTTACTTGAACAATGCCTTTAATAAACTCTTCGAAAGTATTTTTCTGTGAAAAGGGACTTTAAAAATATGAATCAAGTATAGTGAAAAGAACTTGTAGTTAGGAGACCCAGGTTCTGGTCCTACATTGTTGAGAATGTGAACTTGGGTAAATCAGATTCTCCAAACCCCAGTTGTCTGTGTGTAAAACAAGGGAGCCTGGATTATTT